ATATGTATGGGGAATCAATACAAAATGAGGATTGATTTCTCACTACAATGAAATCGAATAATGAGGCGAATTATCCAGCTGAACGTGCTGTTGTTGCTGCAAACGATGAACAACAATTGGCTGATATTTTCAAACTAAACATCGACTGTTTCGAAGAAGTGTTCGACTATTTAGTGCTGGCGGATTTTGCAGCAATGGGGCAAACATGTAAACGAATGCAACAAATAGCCGGACCAGGGCTGTTATGGGCACCTGAGAAGTGCGGCACCCGACGAAGTTGGTGCGCTCTTTTTCAGGTGCCGCACCTTATTCCATGTAAATCTCAAGTGCCGCACTTAAATAATTTTTTTATTGTTTTAACATAAAAATATTGTCAAATAATTTTTAGAAAAAATATTTAGAATAATTTTTACGTTAAACACTGACATTTCTAATGTTGTGAATTTAACAACAATGCATTCAAAGTATTTTGTGAATTGCCCAACACTGTAATTGTGAATATTTCAGTGAATGTTGCGTGCTACATTGTATGACAGTTCACAATGTGAACGTTTGTTGGACGATTCACAAAATTTGTTGACATAAAGATATTTTGAATACATTGTTGTTAATTCACAACATTAGAAATGTCAGTGTTTAACGTAAAAATTATTCTAAATATTTTTTCTAAAAATTATTTGACAATATTTTTATGTTGAAACAATAAAAAAATTATTCAAGTGCGGCACTTGAGATTTACATGGAATGAGGTGCGGCACCTGAAAAAGAGTGCACCAACTTCGTCGGGTGCCGCACTTCTCAGGTGCCGATAACAGCTCTGAGCCGGACATTGTTTTCTGCTAAATTATGGCGCCGAACAAGTAATGTTTGGCGTCGAAGGTTTTAACCTTCTAGGTGTCAAGATAGATTGTTTTAACAATGTCTTACAAAACGTCTGCATTAATCACTGCCTACTCTCAAGCTATAAAGATGAGTCTTCAGTGATTCCGTTGAAACACTCAACATCGATTAAAGAAATCAAAATGATTTTTTTTGATTGTGGAATTTTGTCTTATGACATTTACAGAATAAAAGATATCATCAGTAAAGCTGAAAAAGTGAGCTTTAGTTATGGTGACAAGATGTTGGATGATTTGCTTGAACTGTGTACAAATGTGAAACATTTATCTTTCGAACTTGGCTATCAAGATGAACCTCAATGGACGCGTCGCATTTATCCAAAGTTGGAACACATTCAATTTTTACCTGGCACTACGAAAAATGTACCGGCCCTAAACACATTCATCGAGCTGAACACGACGATCAAACAAATTTCCATCACTTCCCAGCTATTATGGATAAACAGAACACTTTTTAAAAATCTCAACCACAAAATTGATACATTGGTGATTCATTACAATGATGATAAGATTGAGTTCGATGTATTTTGTCGTTTTCTCAATGAACTCTATGAGTTTGGATTTTATAAGAAACTACATTTGATTGAAAACTTTCTAATTCAAGAAGATATCGATCAGTTGGCTTCGGTAAAAGGATTGGTGAAATTTAAGGTTCAAAATTACGTGCATGTTGGTGCTTTCAAAGACTTGGAAGAACTATGCGCCAACTACAGTGATGATATTACTGATCTGGAAACACTTCCACATATGCTCTCGAAACTGAATCGCGTTCATTTTGAAGATGCCAGTTCTAATGACATTTTACCATTTATTTTCCATTCAAATAATTTGACCAAATTGAAAGTTGAAGATCTTTCTAGTGGACTACATTTCGATGAAAATGAAAAAATTCTCAATTTATTTGCGTTGAATAAAGAGCGTGAGAAATTGGTTGGAGCGCGCAAGATCACAATCTACGTCCGGCAAGATGTGTATATATTAACAAAATGGGCAATGAAACAGACAGACTTCAATATGATCGAAATGAAACGAGATTCTTCATACAATTGGTGTTGTTCATTTTGAATTATTTTCTCTTCATTTTTTTCTACAAATTAATTAAATTTTTTCAATATTTTCAATCGACATCATCAATAAATCTAATGAATTGAATAACATAAAATTCAGTAGCTGTGCAATATTTATTGTGTTATCATAAATAGCTTATCAGATCTGCGGTGCTGATTTTCTCTTTAAACGGTAAGATGGACTCTCTGTATGATAATTAGGGTGCTTCATTTTTTGCACATTTTGCAGAATTATGTCGGCTATGGTCATAACCGATGCAAAATGATCATATCTATCCCTAAAAGGTGTTTTCAAAATTTTAAAATGATATTTAGGCGTTCCAGGTTAGCTCTGAATGGAGACATGTATGAAATTCTCCTTTTTTTTCCGATTTACGCCACTTCACGGATATATTTTTGAAATTTTTTTCAATTTTTTTTTACTAACCGGATTTTTCTCTTAAATACCTTTCCAACGATATATAAAACGTCTTATTTTTCCGACTTCATGAAAATTTTTAGGAGGGTCCTTTTTGGAACGATGTTCAAAATTTCAGTTTTCTCATATTCATGTCACCAAAATCACTTCGGAGAATACATGGATCTCAAATTTGATGACACCATCTTATTTTACGTCCAAATACCTTTCCAATGGTATATCACTAGTCACCACCCGTT